TACGTAAGGGATTGTGCGTAGGCGGCCAAGAAAGGTGGTTGCTTAACTGTTTCATTTTTACCTCTTAATTAATTACTCATGAAATTGGAAAACAGATAAGACATATTATCTTGATAAGTTTTGGGAGTGACATTGTTTCCTTACATTATAGAGAAAGAAATGCCCTTTCTTGAGGAAACACATAAGTTAAATGCCAACGTTTGTCTAGTGGTTATGATGACTTTTTTTCCTTGCAGAGAAAGAATTACAGAGTGATATGAGAGATGAGAAATCCATTGGAGATGAAAGTTTGGAGCAGACCCAGGAAGGAGATGTTGGAGCTCTTTATCATGAGCAGATAGCATTGAAAACTGACTGTCGGGAAAGACTGGACCACACCAACTTCAGATTCCTGCTCTGGAAAGCTCTGACAAAATTCCCAGAGAGAGTAGAGCCACGGTCCAGGGAGCTGTCTCCACTTTTCTTGAGATTTATCAAGTAAATGTCTTTTTCTAAGAATATGTCCCTGGTGGGGTGTAAAGAAGAGAGCGTGAAAAGTATTAACCTCCCAAATTAGCTGAGTTCTTTTTTTTTTTTTTTTTTTTTTTTTTTGTCTTTTTGCTTTCTGCTTCTAATCATCCATTAGGCTGAGTTCTTTATACATCTGTCACATTTTCAAATCACTGGCACAGCTGTAAAGTACTGGCTGTATCAGGTAATAACTAAACTACTTTAGTTCACTATTTAATTTTGATCTGAATCAAAATTTAACCAGCTCACAAATAGTATTCATAAAAAATTCCAGGTTACAGTATAAGAAGGGCCACAATGAGTTTAATCCATGTAGAAAAGCCTTATTATTTCTTGCCCTGTTACTCATTATTTTATTGCCTGCCGGGGCTTGAAAGTGTTTTCCAGTGACCTAACACCAACACTGTTTTGGGCCTCTTGATGTTTCCACCTACAGAGTTTTCTGGAGCATTGTTTTGTTTTGACTGGATATGCTATGTGAGAGTCTGATTGTATTAAAACTAAAGATGAGGGGTGTCTTGTGCAGAACATTACAAAAAAAAAGCATGTTTTCCTATAGTAGTTTCCTGGGGAAATGCTGTCGGGTTAGGTCAAGCAGGCCATAAACTACAACATGCCTGACTTGTTCAGAGAACAGCAAGATCTGAGTGGTTCTAGCAGAGTGATCCAGAGAGGACAAGGTTGGAGATGAGGGCAGAAGGTGAGCAGGAGATGAAATTGTGTAGGGCCTTGAAGTGATAGGTAGGACTGTGGCTCTTTCTTTCGGTGAAATGAGCAGCTATTTGGAGGTTTTTAACAGCAGACTAACTTAAGTTTTCTCAAGGATTTTTCTGGGTGCTATGTTGAGAAGAGACTGCAGAATAACATTGGTAAGAGTAGAGAGCAGTCGGGAGGAGATTGCAAGTCCAGGCAAGAAGTGATGGCGACTTAACCAAAGTTATAGCCGTGAAGATAGGTATTTTTTGAATGAATTCAATTCAACAAGATACATTTATGAAAGATGGCAACTAGATCAGCCTGTGGGATTTGCCAGCAGATCAGATGTGGAATGGGTGTGTGTGGTGGGGAGTGGGACAGGAAGGAGGGAGGGAAGGAATGTGGGAGGGGCGGAATCAAGGGTGTTCCTTAAGGCTTTGGCCTGAGCAACTAGAAGAAAGTTACTGTTTACTGAGATAGGAGGAATGCAGGAGTTGCAGGTTTGTGGGGGAGAATTAAAAGTCCATTTTTAGATATTTTAAGTTTGGGATACTGAATAGATAACCAAGTAGAGGTGTCATGTGGAGAAGCATTTAATTTAGTTCAGTGTTCAAGAGAAAGGTTTGATCTGGAGATAACAAATTGGAAATTATCAATGTATACATGGTATTTTAAACCATCAGGTAGGGAGTAAAGTCAGCTAGAGTGTGACTGTAGAGAGAAAAGACTTCCAGGATCTGATGCCAATATTTAGAAATGGGGAGATAAGCAACCAGCAAAAAAAGCCAGGAAAAAGTGACAGAAGAACAAAGACCACTTGGTATCCTGGAAACCACGTGAAGAGAATATTTTAAGGCGGCACTAATCAGTTGATTCAGATGTGTCTGAGAAGTCAGTCAGATGAGGAATAAGAAGTGACCATTGGCTTTGGAATGGCCTGAGTCAGAGTGACCCACATAAAGGTGACCTTAAGGAGTTGTTTTCATTAATCTGCGCTGTTGCTGTTGGAGTTAAGACTTAACATTATTGGCTGGGAGCAGTGGCTCACGCCTGTAATTCTAGCACTTTTGGGGGCCCAGGCAGGCAGATCACATGAGGTCAGGAGTCTGAGACCAGCCTGGCCAACGTGGTGAAATCCCATCTCTACTAAAAATACAAAAATTAGGCCGGGCGCGGTGGCTCAAGCCTGTAATCCCAGCACTTTGGGAGGCCGAGGCGGGTGGATCATGAGGTCGAGAGATCGAGACCATCCTGGTCAACATGGTGAAACCTTGTCTCTACTAAAAATACAAAAAATTAGCTGAGCATGGTGGCACGTGCCTGTAATCCCAGCTACTTAGGAGGCTGAGGCAGGAGAATTGCCTGAACCCAGGAGGCGGAGGTTGCAGTGAGCCGAGATCACACCATTGCACTCCAGCCTGGGTAACAAGAGCGAAACTCCGTCTCAAAAAAAAAAAAAATACAAAAATTAGCTGGGCGTGATGGTGTTTGCCTGTATCTCAGCCACTCTGGAGGCTGAGGCAGGAAAATCACTTTAACCTGGAGGTGGAGGCTGCAGTGAGCCGAGATCCTGCCACAGCACTCCAGCCTGGGTGACGGAGACAGAGTGACACTGTCCCTGCTCCCCCCGAAAAACCTTAACGGCTTGTATGTATGTGATACCAGTGTAAATGATTCAGATGGGAGGGGAGAATTGGTAATGCAAGAAGGAGGATAAAATGGCTAGAACCAGCCGGGCATTGTTGCTCACACCTATAATCCCAGCGCTTTGGGAGGCGGAGGTGGGCAGATCAAAAGCTCAGGAGTTCAAGACCAGCCTGGCCAATATGGTGAAAACCCATCTCTACTAAAAATACAAAAATTAGCCAGGCATGGTGACGTGCGTCTGTAGTCCCAGCTACTCAGGAGGCTGAGGCAGAAGAATCACTTGAACCTGGGAGGCAGAGGTTGCCGTGAGCCAAGATGGCGCCACTGCACTCCAGCCTGGGCAACAGAGTTAGATTCTGTCTCCAAAAAAAAAATGACTAGAACTACGTATTCAAATAGGTGAGAGGAAATGGATACCATGCATAAATTCAAAGGTTTGCATGAATAATTCATTTTGGCAAAGGCACAAGCAAAGATGTAGCAGGTCAGTAGATATAGTGGCAGAAGAGCAATGATTTTCTCTTTTTCTTTTTTTTTTTTATTTTCTTTTTCTTTTTTTCTTTTTTTTTTCTTTTTTAATTTTTTTTTTTTCTTTTTATTCTTTTTTTTTTTTTTTTTTTTAACAAACCCTTGTGTCGAGGGCTGACTTTCAATAGATCGCAGCGAGGGAGCTGCTCTGCTACGTACGAAACCCCGACCCAGAAGCAGGTCGTCTACGAATGGTTTAGCGCCAGGTTCCCCACGAACGTGCGTTGCGTGACGGGCGAGGAGGCGGCCGCCTTTCTGGCCGCACCCCGTTTCTCTTTTTCAAATAATTCCTTGGGCATAAATTTATTGAGTAAGAATGATGTAGAGATTTTTTTTTGCTTTGTTTTGAGGGTAAGTTATGTTTATCGGTTGTTTTTGAATTGCAAGGGCTGTGTATATGCCAGCTGGCATTTATTATTAGTAGCATGTGAACTTTCTGCCATGTTAATTTTCCAAGTTTTTCCCTAAAGAATTAGCTTACCCCATAGCTTAAGGATAAGATCTTATGCTAATGGTACAATTTGCTGTGGCATAGAGGTAGAAACAGGAGCCTGTAACAGGGAGTGGGTCTCTGAGTTTAGAAAGATTTAGAAACTCAAGATACACAATTCTAAGAAATGTTTAAATTAATACTATGGGCATGGATTACGTATAAATAATACATTTATAGATCATCTGAATTAATGGAAAACCGAAATGTCACCTTTAATTCTGACTTTGAAGTATATTATAAGCTTTTTGTTTTTTGGCTAGCAATTTATATTTCTAAATATGTTTAAATTAATTTGGTATTAGAACTAATTTGTGAATCCTTTGAATCCTTTGTAAACATTGTCTGAGACAAGCCAAAACAGGAACAAGAATGAGTGACTAACAATGGCAACAGTATCCCAATAAAAGGTGGCATCTACTCCCACAGAGTACTTACTGTGTGCTGGGCACTCTTAGAGATGCTTTTAATAGATGAATGAGTGAACATGCTGTTCATGGAGATAAAGGTTACAGTACGTAATATGTGATTAATTGAATGTTGCACATAAAATAGGTATGTTATTAAGTGATGATCGTGCAGTTTTTAACTTACAGAAACTTTACTTATTTCGTTGATCCATTTTTTAATTTAAGTGCTAGATTCTGCTAGATGAAAATATAAAGTATCATACTGTCCCAGCCCTCAGATTGTAGTTTAGTGTTACTGATCTGGAGGTTAACTTGTGCTAACCTAGTTTCTTTTAGGAAGGTTGGTAGAGTGCTATCCTCAAACATGTTATTTTATCAGTGTGTTTTTGAATGAGGACTTGAAAGGCCATCCAGTTTCCTACCATCTTTAGCCCAGTGCCTGCATTCAATAGACAACAGCAGGTTAATTTGTGGATGAGTGAATGAAAGTAACACAAACTAATGCATTAAATGACAGACTTCAAGATAATATTCACTAATTACAACAATGGACCACAAGTAAAAGATGAAATTTAATAAGAACAAAGTGAATACTGTATTAAGGTTAGCTGCACAAGCTTAGTTTAGAGGAGATAAAACATGAAGACTCACAGATTTTTAGTGCATGGACATTCAGTTTCAATCTTCGTCATGTTTTGGCTGCCCAAAAAAGTTCTGGAGGTGATAATTCCATCCGTCTTTTTAATCCATACCTGGAGGACTAAATTTTGTGGTCGTACTATACTTGCAAGACAATTTTGACAAAGTAGAATGTATCTGATGGAAAGTGAGCAGCACAGTCCTAATGCTATACTTTAAATCATTTAATATCATTCATCCCTAACCCCTCATCCCCCAGTGGTGGTTCCAGAGTTAGAGAGACCTGATTTCTGCTTAGTACAAGATAGGCATTTCAGATATTTTTAATAGTGTAATGGTGGAATGGGCTATCTTCTACAATTAGTGATTCACTTGTCAAAGAGCATACTAAAGAAGGACCAAATTAAAAAAGAGTAATATTGTGGAAGCTTGACTAAGGTGCTGCTGGTGTCTCTTCAGTGTGTGATTCTGTGAACTGTGGATATCTCTTGTGAACAGAATCAGGACATTTCAGATTAGTGTGCATTCTTCATCAGTCTCCTATCGCTTTCTTTCCATGGTAGCAATGAGTATTACCCAGCAGATCTGCAAGTTGCTCCAACCCAGGATCTGCGGAGAAAAGGCAGAGGGATGGTGGCAGAGGATATCGAAGAGGAACCTGCCATAGGAGACGATGAAGAGTTGGAGGAAGAGTCAGTGCCCCAAGACGAGCCCTCACAGACAAAAAAGACAAGAAGAGCCGCAGCAAAGTAAGCTCACCATTGTTGAAAGGTCACAGATCCATGGTTCTAGTAGGAACAGGAAGAGGTCTGTTATGGCTTTATACAAAATGAACAACTCAGATAATTATTTATGTAAATGCTGCATCTTCCTGGGATTTTCTTTAACAACCTTAAAAAAAACATCATTCTTCCAAGTTTTTGGTTAGTTACTATTAGGTCTTTTTTGTTTGTTTAGCCACATAATGTTAGATTGGGAAGAATTTTGAGAGCCATCTAATTGTAGCTTCTTTTTATGGGTGAGAACTTTGGGACCTGGAATGTTTGAATATTCTTTGACCTTTGTCGTGTACTTACTTAGCATGAGGGTATTGTGTTTGTGTGCTAGCGGAACATGTAATGGAACATCTTTTTTCTTATAAATAATCACGTTAGCACTTTTTTTTTCCTTCTAACCACCTTCCCCACCATCCTGTTAGCACTTTTCTTTACCTTTTAACTTGTCTCCTGCTGGTTACTTTTTCTCATGCTGGTGTTATACCCATTTCCTTATTCTCTTAGTTGTTCATTTACCTGAATTGTTTAAAACCTAAAAGAAGAAGTGATCATGCTTTTAGAAGTTTCTTCAGTTTACTTGGTAATTGTCTGAATTGAGTGTCTCAAGTCCACTGGATTGGTGCAGCTGTTATTTTAGCACTTCAGATCTCAATCCAATATGCCCATTTGTTTCGTATTTCCCATGAGCCATTTATTAGTTCCATTCAGCAACTGTATTGAGTACCCTTTGCTAAGTGCTGGTGTGCAGAGGTGAATTGTACATAGCCACCGCAATGCAGGAGTCAGTCAATGCCGGGATAAATGTTTTTAAAGAAGTTATTGGAGCACAGTAAGGAATTATGTAGTTCTACCACAAAGACCCAAGGAAGGGCCAGATGTGATGGCTCACGCCTGTAATCCCAGCACTTTGGGAGGCCGAGGTGGGTAGATCACTTGAGGTTAGGAGTTTGAGCCCAGGCTGGCCAACATGGTGAAACCATATCGCTACTAAAAATACAAAAATTAGCCAGGTGTGGTGATGTGTGCCTGAGATCACAGTTACTCAGTAGGCTGAGGCAGGAGAATCACTTGAACCTGGGAGGCAGAGGTTGCAGTGAGCTGAGGTTGCACCACTGCACTCCAGCCTGGGCTACAGAGTGAGACTCCATCTCAAAACAAAACAAACAAAAAAGACCCAGGGAAGGCCCTCTGTTGCTGAAAGATGAAAGTTTGCCAGACAACTAGAACAAAGAAGGACTTGTGCACTAACAAACAGTGGAGGAAGCACAGGGGCAGGAAAGATTATGACCAGCCTTCATGTAGCTACGCAATACTCTCCCCTTATCCATGGTTTCACTTCCCATGATTTTAGTTACCCACGGTCAGCCACAGTCCAAAAATATTCAAATACATTTCTTTTTCCTTCTTGGTGAGCAAGAGCGATGGTTACCTAAACCTGGACCTCTGTTGCCTGACAGCTGTATTTACATCATGTGAAAGTGAGGCAGAATATATTCTTCTAACTTTCCTGTCTACCACATAGAACCTAGACAAGTCATAATTCCAAACATCGTATGAGTTCAATTTTGGAATATGTTATATAATTCTGGTTACTTTCTAATTTTTGTTCAATTTAGACCATCTGAGCACATACTGAACGATTTTTTTGGTGTGGAGAACCTGAATTTCAGGGACAGGCCTGCCCAAGATACAGAATTTCTGGAAAATAATTTCCTAAATGTAAATAACTAAATCTTGTTTGTATGATTAACAGTGAAACTATAGGCTGTGTGTTTGAAGTTCTAGTCAGAATACAATTGTAGATAATATCAGTTTAAGAAAATCTCAATTCTTTAATTCTGTAGCACTCTCTGTTTTGTTTCTGTTTAGGCAATTAATTGCTCATTTGCAAGTTTTCTCTAAATTTTCAAATCCACGGGCCTTATATCTGGAATCCAAGTTATACGAGTTGTATCTTCAGGTCAGTAAAATAAACTTTTGGCACTATAACTATTTGTGAGCTTTTCTCTCTCATTTTCTTTGTCAGAGTAGCTTTTAGGTTTTCAATAATTGTTTGCTGAATAGGGCTCATGTCTACATTTTAAGTATTAAATGTTTTTTTAATAGACGTATTTTCTGTTATCTTGAGAAACAATTTTAGAACTAACTTGCTGATTTTGAAGGCATTTTGGGTGACTAAACATTAATTGGCTGTATCAACAGTGAGAATAGCAAAGCATGAATTGTATGATGGAGATTAGCTTTTAGAAGGAAATAGGATTTATACAAAAAAACAAGTGACTACTTTTCCTTTCTAGTTTAGTCAGACTTCATAAAGGACTGGGATTTCAGGATCTGTTATAGTCCATTGCAGTCATAATTATGTGACCCTGCATTTCAGATAAGCTTGCAGAAAAACATTCATGTCAGAAATTAAGTAAGCTTTAGATGTCATTCTAAGCCAACTGGGGAAACAAAATTTTCTTTTTAAATTTGGATGTTTTTCCTGGCATCTTATTGACTGTCATTACCTTCATAGGATAAGAGATTTTCCTTAGTACGTGACCAGCCCAGTTGGCTTAAATTCAGATTCACATGGAGTATCAGCGTCACCAGGACAGACACAGTAGCTCACACCTCTAATCCCAGCACTTTGGGAGGCCAAGGTGGTCAGATCACCTGAGCTCAATAGTTCAAGACAAGCCTGGGCAACATGGTAAAAGCACGTCTCTGCCAAAAACACAAAAATTAGCCTGGTGTGGTGGTGGGTGCCTGTGGTCCCAGCTTCTCAGGAGGCTGAGACAGGAGAATCGCTTCAACTCGGGAGGCGGAGGTGTCAGTGAGTTGAGATCACATCACTGCACTCCAGCCTGGGCAACAGAGCAAGACTGTTTCAAAAAAAAAAAAAAAAAAAAAAAAAGGGAGAGAGAGAGAGACAGAGAGAGGATTGGCTTCACCCCAAAGCTGGTAGTCTCAAGGGTATGGCTGTGGGGTACAGGTGTCAGAGTTTTGTTTTCATTTTTTATTTTGCACATATTCTGTTCATCTTCCATTACTTCCAGGAAAATGTAGAGCTGTTGTTAGGAATCAGCTTTAGCTTTTGTCTAAAAATTTAGAATTCAGGAAATCTAATTTAGCAAATAACCACAAGTAAATTGCTATCCTATGGTATATGTATCTATGACTTCATTAATTCTGTAAAATACTTTCTTAGTTGTTGCTACACCAAGATCAAATGGTGCAAAAAATAACCTTGGATTGCATAATGACATATAAACATCCTCACATCCTGCCTTACAGGTAAGTTACTTGAAGCTTAAAGAACTGTTATTTCTTTGGCTGAATTTTATATTGCTGCATAAGAACTTCTTCTAGAATAATTTCTTAAAGGCATGGGAAATTTCTTTTTTCTGAGGTCATATTTCCAAGCAAGAAATGAAAATGAGTGGTGTATTTGTTGGGTTGTTCTCCATAGATACTAAAATAGAAAATGTTCATTTTAAAAATGTGTTGTAAAATATTATGTCATTTTCTTCTTACTAATATAATGCCATAAAATCTTGGTGGTTACTTAGAGAATCAGAGTCACTTTAAGAATGAAGAAAGCTTTTTGTATCATGCTTTTTTAAACAGCTGAGTTATGGACAGAATCAAATCTCTTCTAATTCGTTATAGCCTTTGAAATTCAAAAATCCGTTATTTTAGGAGATTTTTTTTTTAAGATTTTCCTTTATGGATACCAACCACAATATGTATCATATACTGTATTTTAGTTATTACTGTTACACATATTATTTCACTCTTGCATTATTCAAAAGTACTGTTGATAAAGTGGTAATTTATGCTGTTTTCTGTTTTAAAGGGAAAACTTACAACGGTTGCTTGAAGACAGAAGCTTTAAGGAAGAGATAGTGCATTTTAGCATTTCAGAAGATAATGCTGTAGTGAAAACAACCCACCGAGCAGATCTGTTTCCTATTCTGATGAGGTATTTATGCTATTTAAAAAGTGATTTTTAAAAAGTTAATAACGAACACAATTTTAAGTATAATATTATGGTTCTTTTGACAATTGTAATAGAATATTTCACTTACTTTTTTTTTTTTTTTTTTTTAATTGCATTTTCTTTGGAGATGGGTTCTTGCTCTGTCACCCAGAATGGAGTGCAGTGGCATGATCACAGCTCATTGCAGGCCTGACCTTCCAGGCTCAACTGATGCTTCCACGTTGGCCTCCCAAAGTGCTAGGATTACAGATGTGAGCCATCACGCCCAGCTGCTTTTGTTTTTTGAATTGTACCTTTGGGAGAAGTCATTGTTATAGAAACTAATTTTTGTTCCTAACATAAAAAAAGATCTTTTTGTTTATTATTATTTATTTACTTTTAGAGAGAGTCTTGCTCTGTCACCCAGGCTATAGTGCAGTGGTGTGATCTCAGCTCACTGCAACCTCTGCCTCCCAGGTTCAAGCTATTCTTGTACCTCAGTCTCCTGAGTAGCTGGGATTACAAGCATGCACCACCACACCTGGATAATTTTTGTATTTTTAGTAGAGAAAGGGTTTTACCATGTTGGCCAGGCTGGTCTCGAGCTCCTGACCTTAGGTGATCTGCCCACCTTGGCCTCCCAAAGTGCTGGGATTACAGGCATCAGCCACTACACCTGGCCCCTAATATAAAGAAAGATCTTACCATGGTATTATTGTAATAATAATAATGTTAAAATTAAATTTAATATTTTCCTACATTTTACTGTTGAGATACAGTAGAAATAATTCACTCTGTTGTCAAAACAGCATGTGATATTTAATGATGTTATTATTCCTTTAGTTATAAATGGTAGAGCACAAAGATGATCCATAAACAATACAAACTCTATATATGCTGGGTATAAAGAAAAATGAAGCTTGAATCTTTCCTCTCACCAGCTCTGGAATGAGGGAATGATGGGAATTAGAAAAATCATGGGATTGGGATTTAATAGATGTTTGCTTGTGATCCAGCCCTTTACTCAGTAGTTATATCAAATAGGGCAAGTCTTTTAGATTCACTGGGCT